CATTACAATAATCTAACCTTGAGGTCATGAATACATGAATTAATGTTTCTGCATTTGACATTGTGAGCATAGGGCATAATTTAGATATATATTTAAGATGGAAAATGCGGTTTTACAAATGCTAGAAACATGACTTTCAAAGAAAAGGTTGCTATAAAATATCACACCTAGGTTTCTAACTGATGACGAAGAATTGACAGAGCAGCCATCAAGTGTTAGACAGTGTTCTAGATTATTACTGTACATGCAGAGGATTTTGGTCTGATAATTAACACCTGTTTTTTCAGAATTTAGCAGTAGGAAATTACTAGTCATCCAGTTTTTTATATCAGCTCTGCATTCTGTTAGTTTTATGAATTGGTATGTTTCGTCGGGTCGCGAAAAAATATAGAGCTGACGGTTCTAGTACTGAGCCTTTTGGTACTCCATACTGCACTTGTGAACAATATGATACTTCTTCATTCACTGCTACGAATTTATGACAGTCAGATAAGTATGATTTGAACCATGCCAATGCAATTCTACTAATGCCAACATAATTTTTTAGTCTATTCAAATGTTGCGATCACTAGGATCCAGTAGCACTAATAGAGAGATACAACCATGATCGGATGATAAGAGCAGGTCATTTGTAACTCTGATGAGAGCAGTCTCTGTACTATGATACGGTCTAAATCCTGACTAGAAAATCCTCGCAGAGACCATTTTCCTCTAACAAAAAAACATAGTTGTGAGGAGACCACCTTTTCAAGTATCTTTGACAGAAAAGGGAGATTTGAGATTGGTCTGTAATTAACTAATTCTCCAGGATCAAGTTGTGTTTTTTAAATGAGAGGCTTAATAACAGCCAGATTGAAGGATTTTGGGACAAATCCTTGTGACAATGATGAATTAATGATATTAAGAAGAGGATCTATGACTTCTGGAAGCACCTCATTTAGTAGCTTAGATGGTATAGGATCTAACATACATGTTGTTGGTTTAGATGATTTAACAAGTTTATACAATTCTTATTGTCCTATAGCAGAGAATGGCTGGTTTGATGTTTGATGTATGATGGTGGTCCATAATAACTGTATAAAGCAATTGGAACTGAGGTGCTTCATACATTTATAAGAATCATCCTGTGAAACTATGTGAACATACAGTAAAATGAACACTGGGTTTTATCTTTAGCAGTCATTCAGGAAGGCAGTGGCCAAAGAGCGCAAGAAGAGTGCTGATAGAGAGAGAGAGAAGGCTGTTTCAGGCATGTCACAGATGTGCGGTGGACATTAAGCCTTTATTTGCAATTGGACTCTAAGTCGCTACTCCTCCCTTAAGAAGTTTATCCGCCTGTACATGTATTTGCGCTACAGTCACAAGAGGGGGGATGAAGACAACGCAAAGTGGGTGGTTTACTTTGAGAAGTGTTTGGTTTAAAAGAGAGAGAGAAAGAAAGAGAGAGAGACAGATAAAGTTGAGGCAAGCAAGGAAGTCAGATTACAGCACTCTATAAACATCTTACAGTGCTTACCAAGACATCTTACCAGTGAACAAGAGCCTTGTGAAGACAGAGAGGAGGATATAACACATCTTTGTACTCCTTTTCTTTCAACGAGAAGAATGAAATCTCAAATAAAGAGAACGTTTTCAAACTTCTTCTTTGAATACGAAACTCCTCGACAGGTTCTGGTCAGGAACAAAAGAGTTGCAGTTGTGTGCCGAATCATCCAAATGGGTGTTCTAGCTTACATCATTGGGTAAGAGATTTATTTTATTATTTAAAAATCTGAAACAGAAAAGCAGACAAATATCAGTGAGCATGAGTAACTGAACGGAACATGCTTCAACAAGGGCAAAACATTTACAGAATGCAAACAAACTAACGGCTCGAGCCTTATATTGAACTGAATAGTTAAGGGCTGTCATGATGTACCATTTAAGATAATGCATTTAGTCTAACTAGCAGCACACCATCAAACTGTTATTGTTTCAGAAAGGACACACATTTCTGAAGAAAATTAGAATAAGCTGAAATTTATTTTATGTGCTTGATTTGCTTAAAAGTATGCTCTTTTTTTCTTTTTTTTATTGCATCTCATTTAGATTTAATGGCTTATAGCTTCAATAACATAGCAACAGCTCATCTCCAGTCATAGAACTAACAGCTGGCCCTCAGTATGTATTAGATAACTGGATGTACGTGGCATCTGTGTAAAAGATTCACTTACGCGATGTTCATGATATGAGTGTCGCATACAGACATGTTTATAAAAGCAAACATTCATTTGAGCGGTAAAATGTCATGCTGTAGTCATTCATGGAGAAAAAGCAGACTTTGGCAGATGTTAACCTTTACAACAGTCAAGTCCAGACAAACACTGCTCATTTCCTCTTAAAGGGTTAGTTCACCCAAAAATGAAAATTAGCCCACAAATTACTCACCCTCAAGTCATCCTAGGTGTATATGACTTTCTTCTTTCAGACGAATCCAGTCGGAGTTATATAAAAAATTGTCTTTGATCTTTCAAGCTGTTTAATGCCACTCAGCAGGTGTTGCATGCATCAGTCCAAAAGAATAAAATAAAAAGCGCCCATTCATTAAAAAAAAAAGTGTCTCACACGGCTCCGAGCTTCCTTTGCTCCTGTTAACAAACGTTGGTTTTCACGAGACTCACCGGCGCATGCGCAACGCTGAACTCATACGTCATCCGCCCGGAGCTGCTTCCGTGTACAACTGTTGGCGCAAGCTACATTAAAGTGATTATTACGTTTTGAATATGGATATTTTTCTTACAAAAACGCATCGATTCGCTACAGGAGGCCTTTGTTCACCCCCCGGAGTCATTTGAGACATTTTTTATGGATGGGCGCTTTTTATTTAACTTCTTTTGGCCTGATGCATGCAACACCCGCTGAGTGGCATTAAACAGCTTGAAAGATCAAAGACAATTTTTAATATAACTCCGACTGGATTCATCTGAAAGAAGAAAGTCATATACACCTAGGATGACTTGAGGGTGAGTAATTTGTGGGCTAATTTTCATTTTTGGGTGAACTAACCCTTTAAGTAATTCAAACCTATATTGTGCAACCCATTGAGCATCAGTTAACACCATAGGCGGAGGGTGAACCAACTCCAGGGTAAGGCTAAAAGCAGCCAAATGTATTAAACATCATAAACCCGTCTTTTTAGGCAAGGACCAGACATGGGTGTCATGTAGGCTAAAGAAAATGTTTAATGGGACTGAATTTGTATTTAACGTGATTACAATTTAATAAAAACTTTAGAAATTGATAATTATGTAACGTTTCCTTTCCACGGTTATTCAAACAGCGAATAAGTTATATATAGAAAGTGGCATTATCACTAACATTGATCTATGGCAAGTTTAAGCACTTTCAAAAAAACAAAACTATCGTTATAATCACTGAAACTGTATACACTGTGAAATGAATCTCTTACTTACATTGTACGTCCATCTGCGCTTTGTTTGTTTAGGTGGTCAGCGAACGCGCGCGCACTCAACAAAACTGATCTGTTTCAACGATGACTCATCTGAACACCTCTGATTGGCCATTGCATTCCTAAGCTCAACAGAATTGTGTGTGATTAGTTAAAAGCTGTAAAAACGCCTAAAATGAAATACGGTGCAACATGAGCAGAAATTAATTTAATGCTACAATCGACACTGTCTATTCATATTCACTTTGTTAGCAACAGACGTAATAGATTTAATTTGATTGTGCAGGGGCATTTTTGTCCAATTTAGTGGCATTTTTGCCCCAAGTCCCCGTGGCCTTACACACGCTCCGCCTATGGTTAACACATTATGTGGGTGTCCTTTGTGTGCTCTAAAATTTGCATTTAAAGTAACCAAATGAATGTTGAATAAGTGTGTTGCGCTTCTCTTGAAATCAATGACTACTGTGCAGTATATAAAGCCACTGGAGCAAAAACACAATTGGAAAAGTGGCTGTAATATACTGTGATACGTTGCTGTCTCCTATTTAGGGGGTACAAGGTCCCAGAGATCTCTACAAGGTGTTACATCACTGTATTAAACTTTAATGTCAGTGATCACATAGAACAGCATGAGAGTGTGCTGCTCTCTCATCCCTCTCTGTTACTCACTTTAGTTTATCAGTGAACATCAGCAGACCACCCTTAATGAATCAAATGCAGCTCTGGTCCAAATTACAGCAGGATGACAAAGGTATTTGTTTGGGTATTCAAAGCTAGAAAGCATTAAACACTAAAAACCTGCATGTCGTCTACAGCTGGTGTTTGTGCAGCTAATTTGTGCAGCTAAAAGTGGATGGTGCTTCTGTTATCTGTCATGTGGAAGTTGTTTGTCTTTGTAGTCAGGTTAGCTGAATGAAACACAAATTGATCAAGTCGATAAACTGTTGCTATAGTATTAGTTTTGGTCTGTGTGGAGCAGTATTTCATCTTTAGGTGTGTCATACGATAAGACTGAGAGTCATGCTTCAAAGGGAAAGATACTGTTTGTCGTGTCTTGCTAGAGGGCATGAGGCCAAAATCTTATTGCTTCATCCTACTTTTATATGACACAAGGTGGTTCAACTACATACTGTTTGAACACATGCACACATTCGAAAAATGCAAACTATAAAACATAGCCTTATGATATTAATCATTTTCCAACTGCTGTGCAAGTTTAATAGTGCAAATCATGAGGACTCAGTATATGCTTTTTACTTGAAAAGAATAATGCACTGGTAAATGACTGCTTTTATTTTGACTGCTTTTATTGTCCTCATTTGTAAGTCGCTTTGGATAAAAGCGTCTGCTAAATGACTAAATGTAAATATATTTTGTATTGTTATTGTCAATCAGTAGCCAATAAAAATGAAACTAATAGCAGTTCTGAGTGAAAGGTATTAGGATCAAATTAAATTTAAAAATCGAAAAACCAGCATTTTTTTCTCTGTTGACACATTAAGCTCAATATTGACAAATTGTGTGCTGTGAATATTCATGAATGGAATGAAGGAATGAAGAAAGAAGAAACATCAGATGTTTCTGAAAATAATATTAAAATCATATAATAATACAAATAATATAATACAAATAATTTCTATAATGTCAACAACAGGAATATGTTAGTGGACAATTGATGAAATATTTCACGTGTGTAACACTGTATCAAAGAATTAAATCAGTGAAAATGAATAGTTTGTAGTAATTTGCTGGTTTTAATCACATGCATTTTGTGAAAAAGGTACCCTCATTTATGGCTGTCATGAAATGTATGTATGTGGATAATAGAGAGGTATAGAAAAGAATCACCCCTCTTTAAAACAATCACATTTTGTTGCTTTGCAGCCTGAAATGAAGACGGACACAGTTTTTGTTTTATCCAGCTGTATTTACTCAGTGCAACTTATAACATCCAAGTGAAAGATATAACACCAACATGTCAGAAAAAAATTAAAACACAGAAACTCAATCTGGTGTTGCTAATCACCTTCTCACTGGTACACAAAGCTATTTGACTTTCAACTGTGATCAGCTGTGTCATTTTGATTAGCTCAGCATGAAAAGAGCTTTCCTGGAGCATTTCAGTCCTTTGTAGTGCAACTGAAGCAAACAATCAACTATGGATGGCAAAGCTGTCAAAAGATCTCTGGGATAAAGTTGTGTACAGGCACAAGTCAGGAGATGGATACAAAAACATTTCAAAGGC